AGGACCTCGTCCTCCCAGAAGAGAGCGGCCAACCTCTCTCACCATGGTCACAGAAGAGAAGCTAGTCCTCCCAAACCAGAAGAGGAGCTAGTCTTCCCAAATGACCCAGTGGCTGGCTTGTGGGTCCTAGAAAGGTTGGGGGGGGGAGATTAATGATCCCAGATGAGCCCTGAGATGTTAGGGTCTGAGGTTAATAATTTCCCCTCTCCAAACTACACAAAGAGTCCAGCCAGTAATGCAAAACACAAGCAGAGTTTATTCAAGCCAGCTAGCTGGGGTCAAGTTCTCAGGCATGTAGGCCAAAGCAAGACCCTGAGCAAGGAAGAAGCTGAAAGTTTAATAGTCAATGCTTAATCATCCTATGTGCTCAAATGCACTCAGTACAAAGAAAGCATTCACAGGAAAAAGGGGTTACAAGAGGATATCAAGACAGAAAATACTACGTTGTTCTTGTCACTTTTGCAAGTCCAATGCTCGCAGCCTCCGAAGAGGAATCCAAGGCCAAGCAGCCTGGCAACATGAGCTACAGCCCTTGCACCTAGAGTGATAAGGGGATGTGGGAGAATATCTGCATTCCAAAGCTGAACTGGGTTAGGGATCTGTGAGAGAGAGAAGATTGCTCTATGTAACACTAAAAGCTAAAAAGCAGCCAAGAGAAGAGATGCGAACCCTTTCCAAACCAGTTTGGACACACAAGTCATGGCGCACCCATTTCCATGGGGCCTGTGCTCCTGCCCATTTGCCGGTCAGTCTCCAAAGGCTCATCCTAACAATTCAGTTGGGCACCAACCATGCCCAACAAAATAGATTTGTGATACCTGTTGTATCTCAAAATGGTGTTGCTAAGGTCATTAAGGATTTACTGAGCTGGCTAGCCTTCTGTTTGTTTTTCTTATTGAGCGTGGTGGGCATTTATGCAAGTTTCCCATCCAATTTTCTGTACTCCTACTGAACTGTCAGTAACTGTGAGATTTGGAGGTGTCATATGTGTAGTCACTTGCCCCAGGAGCTGTGAAACTGGGATTATTCAGTTTAAATCATTGGCAGTTTAAAGAGGTTCAGTTGTGGAGCTAGGCCATTTATGAGGATACATGTGTGTTTTTGTGGAGTGTAGGTGGGCGTGGAGGGGGGGGGGGCGGCAGCTGCTGAGCTTTCCAGCAGGGAGGAGAAAGCAGCTTATCCCCATTCTGAGACAGCTCCAGAGTTCTCAGCCTGGAGATCAGTCTACTAAGGATGATTTGTGGCTGGAACAATTCGCAGCTTCATGGTTTTCTCTTAATTTTAAACAGGTAACTCCGAAACTTTTTCCAAATGATGGTTTTCACTTGTTACTCCTGGCAACCAAAAGAAACAATGATCCAGGTTCTTGCAAATTCTCAGTACAACAAGCCATCCTTATTTATGTCATTATGGTTCCAATCTGCATTCTCTTGATCACAGAGGAGTGTGAACATCTTGTGTCTGATTTTAGCTCAAGAAGTTTCTCCTCCTGGAAGAATTTTAAATCATTTTCTTCTTTATATATATCGAAGATATTATACCTTGGTTTCTTAATATGCCCCACATAGATTTCCCTAGTTTGTTCCATATTTTTACATTGGTTTATCCTTTTTTCATTTTCACATTTACATTTATTTAAATTACTCTATTCCTTTACAGCCTGATATTTATAGCTCACTGAAAAAGACATCTTACCTGGTGCTGAGAATTCAGCAGACACACGTTGGTTTGTGAGTATAGCTTGTGTCTGGATAACAGGAAAGTCCCCCACCTGATGAAACTCTCAGTGGGCCTCAGACTACTTCCCATTTTCTACCATATACACCATAAAAACAACTTGGAACCATATGATGTCAGAAGGGACCTTGGGAATGATCTTGCTCAAATTCTCTTTTCTATAGATGAAGAATACGAAATCTAGACCTTGGAACCCAATATGGCAGCCATAACCACATTTGCTTTTTAGATTTACATTTTAAGGTCTAAGTCACACTAGTTGATTTTGAAAATGCTCCATAGCTACATGTGGCTCATGGGCACTAGACTGGACAACAGAAGTTTAGAATAGTTTTAGTGGGCAGGGCAGTCTTAAAGGGCAGTTTGCTGGCTACTTAAAGGACAATCTGCTAATCAGAGGTAGGAACATAGTCATTACTAGGAACCAGTTAGAAATGGAGAATCCCTATTAATTACTTAATAATCAGGTCCTATCCAGGCCTGCAGAGTTGGAGTCTGCAATTTAACAAGATCCAAAGGACATTGGTCTGTTGTTTGGTCTGAGAACCCCTAATCATATGATTTTCTTTCCTAGCTGATTGATGTCCAGGTTCTCTCTCTCTCTCTCTCTCTCTCTCTCTCTCTCTCTCTCTCTCTCTGCCCCCCCCTCCCCCCTCAGTGGTGGAAGGTGACACAGTTGGCTATGCTCAGAGATTACTCCTGGCTCAGGGATCACTCCTGGTGTTCTGGTGCGGCTTGGGCGGTGCTAGGGATTGAATTTTGGTCAGGCATGTATAAGGCAAAGACCTTATCCATTGTTCTCTTTCTGTCCTGCAGGTCCTTCTATTAATTATACTACCATTTTATCAGCATTTATCCTCCTATCTCTGTAATCCTTGTTTCTTTCTGTTTAATTACAGCACTTATAAACATTTATAGGCCTCCCAGACCATTGAAACTTTTAGAAAACATTCTGTGCTGTCACTCTCAATTTTATTTTTAGATGCAATACAATTGGCTTGTGATAAATGTTAAGACTATTACAATAACTTTTATGTTGGCAGTATTTTCACCTGGAGAATTACTGTTTGTAGGGGCTGAAGAGCAGCAGGTTAGAAACTAAAACCAAAACTTTGAAATCTGTGAGATACCAGTTACCAACTTGTGTGGTATAATTGGGCTTGGTAATGTAAAGGCAGAACTTATTTCTTTGGATGGAGGCTGCAGAGAAGAATATGAGAGCAGGTTAGGCACTTGTATTCCTGTGTCATACCTGGCAGTTTGCTTGGAGAGCTCAAAAACAGGCTTAAATGAACTATCACCATAGCACTACTCAATCAATGTAACTGGTTAATAAGACACTAAAAGGAAGTGAATTTGGAAACAGATCTCTCTCTCTCTCTCTCTCGATCCCACTAGAAAAGGACAGTGGTGAGAGAGAAGGCAGAGATTGGGGTTGTGAGAGGTGTAGTCCTTCAGGTGGAAGTTGCAACAGCTAACACTGGCCTCTGTCTCCTAGGAAGAAGGGCCAGGAGGGTGTGTAGCATTCAGGACAGGGCTGCAGGGCTCCTGCACTTCTGGCAGCAAACAAGGACTGGGCAGATAGATGGTTGATTTCAGCTTGAACTTCTTTCCAATAGACAGGAATATCTCTTCCGCAGATAGCAAGGTGAAATCCAGGCCAGAGTTACCCCTGAACTGGGGAAGATCTGGAAGCTTTGAAACCCTATGAACTGTTAGGGAGTGATAGTACAGCAGGTAGGCTGTTGGTTTTGCACGCTGCTGACCTGTGGTTCAATCCCTTGTACTCCATAAGGTCCACCTGGAGTATCCCTGAGCACTGCTGGGTGTGACACAAAAAGCAGGAATAAAAAAAAACACCAAAATCCCTAACAACCCCTCTCTGAACTGTTGTCATCAACTTCTCTCTCTCTCTTTTTCTCTCTCTCTCTCACTCTCTCCTCCACCCACCCCCCCCCCACACACACACCTTCCCTGTCTTCCTTTCTCTCTCCTTGACTGCACAAGAGCAAGGTCCAAAACTTCTCTGAGGACTTACGCATGTCAGTAGGGCTTTCAGAAGGATCAGCAGAAACTGCTGCTGCATCCTTGGGTTTTGTTACTGGATTTAGTACCACTGGACAGTGCTTGTACCACAGCACAAGCACCAGTGTAGCTAACACAGACAGAGGTGCTGGCAGAGCAGATCTGATCTAAGAAGTGGAAAGCCGGGAGAGTCAGTTTCCATAGATATACAAGGAGTCTCTGGCAACATCATGAATTTCTGGAAAAATGTTTTGTTTATAAGTTTTTTGTTTTGTTTTTTTCCTGAGATTATTGAACTAGACCAAATACATATTTGTTTTTGCCCTTTCCGAGGACATATGCATGACTTCCCCCTACCATTCTCCCCCCCCCCCCATCCCTTCTTATTCATAAAAGACCAACATCCTGAACTCACAAAGTGATTGTCAGGATAGTCAATATGGTGCATGTAAAGGCCATTGCAATTATACAAAGGTGAGAATCTGCCTGCCAGATGGGGGCTAAGAGTTTGTATTTTCAAGATCTCGGATGAGACTGACAGACACAGAAGTTAGGAAAGGAGCGCCACGAACATAGGTATCTACAATCAAACACAGAGATATTTTTTTTGCGTCGTTTACTATAAAGGCAGGCTCCTGATTTCAATGCATAGTTTCTTCGCACCCAGAACAGAATGAAGCAGAGAATCTAAGAACATGGAAAGTTGGGGGACTGATGACAAAATCAGGTAATGTGTGCCGGTTTAAGAGAGCTGGGGAAAGGTTGGGGTGTTAACACTGACGTGAGTGACTCCCTCTCGATACCCAAACACTGAGTCGCCACGCACAGTGCGGGGTGAGGGAGGGGCGGCCACGGGTCATCACTACTGCCCAACGCGTCAGCGATTATTGATTGACTGAAGGGTCCCAGGAGTCGCCGGCTCCCTCGGCCACCTGAGGTCATTACCGCCTCTATCGTAGAGCTTCTCCGCTCTTCCAGAGCAAAGTCGCGCACCCACGCCTCGGGGACGTGCCCAGGCTCGGCACCTGACCGTCCACCGCAGCCGCGGATGCCAGTGCAGAATCCTTATGCAAATGAGCCAAGACCTCACCAGCTCCTCACCTGACCCACCCGCGCGAGGCGACGCGTGCGCAGCGCGGCCGGCGCGGCGGGGCCGAGGGGGGCGGGGCCGGCCGGTCGGCTTCGCGCAGGCGCGTGGCGGCGCCGCCGGGCGGTGCGATTGGGTGAGCGAGCGACGCCAGCGCCGGCGGCGGCGGCCTTAAGGGAGGCGGCGGCGGCCCGGGACAGTCCAGTCGGCCTGTCAGCCGGCTCGGAGGCGGCCTCCGGCTTTCGCGCCGGCACGACGGCCATGGCGGCGGAGGAGGAGAAGGTGGATCCCGCCGACACCTGCGAGAGGTGAGTGTGGCCGGGGCGGCGTGGGGGGCGCGGGCGCGAGCTGCGGGCGCGGGGCCGGCTCCGGGCCGGGCGGAGCGCTCCGAGGGAGGACTCGCAGCCCGGCGGCCGGAGGAGAAGCGCCGGCTCCGCTCTGACCCCGGTCGCCGCCGAGGGGCTCGGGGTGACGCGACACCCGCACCCGGCGGGAGTAGGGGGTACATGACCGGGGGGAGGGAGCTGTCCAGTCCGCGACCTCGGTTCGGCCCCCGCGGCCCGCGCAGCCCCGCGGTTCCCGAGCCCGGCTGCGAGTCGCGGCTCAGCGCGCTCGGCCCCCCCCCCACCCCGGGTCCCTTCGGAGCGGGGCTGCCGCGGCCCGTCCGGCGCCGGGCGGGGAAGGAAAGTGCAGCCGGGGGAGACCCGGTCCCGGAGGCCGGAGAAAGGGGGCGGCGCTTGCCTCGCCCCCAGCCGGCCGCCGCCGAGCCCCGAGTCAGCCCTGGAAGCCGGCTCTGAGGAGGGGGCGCCTCGCGCCGGTGGGCGAGGAGGTCGCCCCCAACCTCAGGGCGCTCTGAGACGTGCCTGGTTTCATTTTTATTTTATTTTCACAAGACCTTCCTTTGCTGACAGGGGATTCTGGGGTTCCCCGGACAAGGGCTGTGGAGAGTGTGTGTGTGTGTGTGTGTGTGTAAGTGTCCCTAGTCCATTTGGTTGGTTAAAAGTGGGGAAAAAGAAATGAAAATTGCCGGGAACATTCCGTAGTTCTTTATAAGGGCGGGGGGGGGGGGGAGGGAAAGAGAGAGAGACAGACAGATAGACACGCCTGCTGTGACTGTTTGCAAGTGTCTCTAGTCCAGTTGGTTGGTTAAAAGTGGGGGCGGGAGGGAGGGATGAAAATCGCCGCGAACATGCCGTAGTTCCGAAGGCTGGTCGTTGGAAAGTACACCTGCACCGGGCTTCTTAACCTGTCCAGGTTTACTGCCTCTCTCGGGCTGTCGCTGACTTGCTCACCGCAGTGTTGGAAGATGCTACCGAGCCCCACCGGAAGACAGGGTTGCTTGAAAAGATGCCTGCCAGACAGGACAGGACAGGACGCGTTGTGAAATAATTAGACACCAGATTTTGCCCTTTTGTTTTTATTTTCCTATGATGAAATGAGTGTCTTGTTGATGGACTTCTTAACAGGAAGTGAGATGCAGAAGTTATAATAATCTCGGGGCAGTGTATTCCCAGCTCATTTGTCACAAACTTTGTGGCTCCTTTCGGGGACTCTTGTTAGGTGTTTGCTTTTTTGGTGTCCTTCTTGTTGTGGCGCTCTGAGGTTCCAGGGCCCAGCTGTGAAAGGAATTTGGATCAAGTTCCAGGACGAAGGTGAGCTTCCTTGGACTGCTGACAGTAAACTTGAGCAGCATCTCGCGCCCAGATTTGTGTAGCCTTTTGAACTGTAGCAAGTGCTACCTGCTCTTTCTGGGTATTTACTTCCTAAAAATACTGGGATTGAAAGTAAGGTTGACCCTGTGTACTAGGTATTACTCTTCCCATTTATCAGCTGGAACAGCAAAGGAGAACTGTTGACTCCTGCCAGTGAGTGGCTAGACCAGATTGGCACCTCCTGCCTCCACCCACTAAAGGTATCTGGATTTAATCTGAAGAGTTTTATTCTAATTTTTGCTTTGGGATGGGGACTCGTGCGAAGTTAGGTGCCTTTGCTTTCTGTACTGACTCTTCATTATTTAGACCTTACAGTAGCACATAGTTTACTCAAAAAAACCTTAGAACCAAGTAAATTATGGGAAAATATAAGTCTTGAATTAAGTTCCCAATTCATAAGTCATTTTAGGCTTAGATGGAGAGATGAGATTCACAACAAAAGCATGATTAAAAGTCACTGGAAAGTTTTTGGGAACACGTGGATTTTGTTTTTTCCTTATTTTGTTTGTTTCCTAATGAAGAGGATAGGCATGCTTGGGAACCATTTGGCTTTCAACATCATCCCTCTTCGGTGCAATACAGTTGAAAAAGTTGAATGTAGTAAGAATGGCATCTCTGAACTGCTGTAAGGTTGTCTGAGAGAAAAGTATCAGTTCAGTTTAAAAGGAAAGGTGTATTGCAGAGTACTCCATAAAATAGGTCGTTTTCAGAGGCTAAAGCAATAGTACAGTGGTAGGATGTTTGCCTGGGATGTGGCTGACCTGAATGCGATCCATGGCATCCCATATGATCCCCAGAGCCCTCCAGGAGTGATCCCTGAACTCAGAGCCAGGAGTAACTCCTGAAAACCACTGAGTGTAGCCTCCAAAAAAAAAAAAATTGGTGGTTTGTGGTTGTATATTTGAATTAGCTTTTATGGGCAAGCTGTTGTAATTTTCCAGGGATTTTGCCAATTGTTGACAGCTTGAAATCAGCCAGGAGAGTAAGTTTTTACACTGTCCTCCCGTTGTTCATCGATTTGTTCTAGAGGGCCCAGTAACGTCTCCATTTTGAGACTTGTTGTTACTGTGTTTGGCATGTTGAATACATCACGGGCAGCTTGCCAGGCTTTGCTGTGCGGGCAAGATACTCTCAGTAGCTTGCCAGGCTCTCAAAGAGGGCGGAGGGGCAGAGGAATCGAATCCGGCTGGACCGGACTGGCTGCGCGCAAGGCAAACACCCTACCACTATACCATGAGAATCATAAGTGGTCTAAGGGAGATATTTTTCCACCTTTCGGCCTCTGTGGGGTTCCCATTACCCTACTGTGTTTACTTTAGAATTTGTCTAGTTCTGTCTTACAGAGAAGAAAGTGAATTTCTCTATCATAACCTTAAATACTGGTATAAGTCCTCCCTGTTTTTCCATCTCTTCTTTCTAAACCTTTGCCACTTGACAAAAATCAGAGAACTCCACTTTGTACTTTCGTTGGACTTTTACTATTCTCGGTGTTTTTCTTAAATCATTCTCAGTTTTTGACACTGTAATCTATGTCTTGTTTATTTATTTATGTTGTGCTGGAGGGTCAAGTTTTTCATATTTAAGCAGTCAACAACATGACCGTCAAAACTCTTTTAACAGGAAGCTCTTAGGATATTTTGCTTCTTATGTTACTTGAAATTTATAGTCACTTTATTGTTAGGCTCTTTTCTTTTTTCCTTTTCTTCATAATTTTACCTTTCCTTCCTTTCCTTTCTTCCCCCGCCCCTTACTTCTTAAACTTAATGTGTGTGGATAGGCCTAAAATCTTTCTGCATATTCAGTATCACTTGAGTGATGTTTTTAACAGTGTGTCAAATGTTGTGTGCCAAGTTTCTCAAATGTACCATGATCAGGATCTTTTTACCCCTTTATCAGTTATCAACTTTCCATTCCCACTGCCACTAAGAGCCACCTGATCCAGTCCCTGAGCCCTCTTCCATATTATTGAAGGTGTTCCTAACACAGCCAGATCCCAATATAGTTGATGTCACTAGTTACTTTTATATCCACAAGTACCCTCTGATTTGTAGCATAGCCACACACAGTGACCTTATTATATGACCTCATCCTAACTTCAAAGTCCTTTGCAGGGAACATGTTTCTTGTCTATCTTTGGAGGCTTATTTTCTCTCTGTGCACTGGGCACTGGCCAAACTGTATCTTTATTGTTCCCTATATGTTCCTTGTTCACTTCTGTTTCCCCTAGCTTGATTTCCTCCGACACAGAACAGAATAGGATCTCTCTTTTTGAAAGTCCTGTGGTATTTTCAACTTGCTTTATGGCATTTACACTTACGTATTTACACTATTGTAGTATAGTTGTTTGTTTTGCCATCTCATTGAGGATAAAGCTTTTGCATTAATCAAATATCTGTTAGGGTGTAATAGGACTTTAGAAGGTTAAGGTTTACACATATACCTTAATGAAGAGTTTTACAAACCAAAAGGAGGGCTTTAATAAAAGTTTATTGAATTCAAAACTTTATTGAGTTCGTCATAAGTGTATGCTATCACATTAATGTAAAAAAAACTCCTAAGTGTATTATTCATGTTACAGTGTGTGTCTAATTTTTTTCATCCTGTTATTCAAGTATCAGGAGATAAATTCATAAGGAATTTAGAGTTTGCATTTGACTAAGAGGATAATTGGGATCATAAACTTAAATTTTTATGAGTATGTTAGGAATAAGATTTTATTTATTGACCTTATATGTGCCAACCCATGCTTTACTCTTTTACCTATTCTCCAAAATTCTAATCAAAGATGAGCAAATATAGATTTCAGTCCTGTGACAAAGAACTCAACAAGGTTCTAAGGCCCTACAGATATCTTACTTAATCTTAATAAAAACAATACTGGATAATAATTTTCCCAGTGACAGATATCCATGAGTCTTTAAAGGTTTGATCGCTTGTCATAATAACTGTTCAGATACATTGTCAGATTCTTTTAGTCAAATCTTGTGGTTCTAAAATTTCCCACTCTTGATTATGAATCTTAAAAATTGCAGTGAACAATGATTTTATTAAAAAGTATTACTCAATTTGAAACCAAGGGTTTTATAACTATTGGATGATTTTCTTTTTTGTAGAATTCACATGAAATATCACTTGGATTTGTTAAACTATGTAAATCTAATTCATCATGTAACTTCTTTATGTTCAGTGATGTTATGTTTGACTCAGAATCATTTATTTACTCTCTGAGGGAATGCAGGGAACAATGAGGAAAAATATTACCAGCACATTAAATTTACAACACTGATTCTCAAACTCTGTGACTTTTAAAATTACAGGTTAGAAATTTAAAAGAAAAGTTAAAAAGAATGCTAATTATTGTGTTAAGTGTTTTAGAATGTCTGTGTTGTCATTTAATCTAATGGTTAGTGGTAATTTAGATCATTTAAATATCATTTATTTAAAATTAAATGACATTTTAGTCGCTAAGATTGTGGTTGTATGAGGCATAGTTTTTAAAATGTCCTTCTAAGCATAGAATTTTAGTTCCCAAGAAAAAAAGACTACCCAAATGTTATAATTTCTATTTTGGAAATTTTTAGTCATTGGCTGGTTGA